AGTTGCGTGGTGTAGGACTTACCATGAACCAGAGATAACCCAAAAAAAGACGCAGATAACCCAAAAAATAAAGAAGCAGATAACCCAAAAAGTAAAGACGCAGATAACCAAAAAAAAGACGCAGATTACTGTTTCTCCGCATCTGTTTCTACGTCAGGCTGCTGAGTTCTTAGCTTGGACTGAGAGCGGCAGCCGCCGTCGACGAGGCCACATCAAGTACTCTTTTGCAAAATCGCACACATTTGCAGCCGGTTTCCAGGCCACTTTTCTTGTTGAGAGAATCTGAAGCTCTTGGAACGTGGGGTTGGTGAGAACACATTCCATGCTGGGCAATTTTGTGGCCTTTTTGCGCCGAAGGTTTGGATTCAGAACCACCTGCTTGCACCAAACACTTCATCAACCTTGAGAGCCACTTTGAGGCGCAGAATCAGCGGTCGGAGTTTGTTTTATTCAAATCCGAAAGTCTGTGCAGTCCCTTCCCTTTGCACACTTCAAATTTCAACTTTTACCGCGTCCCGTCCATTGCATGGAATGCTGAACTTTGTGTGGGAGGGCGAGAGTCGGAATCGCGTGATGTTTGACAGTTCAAGTTTTGAACCCTCGAATTGTTGTTTGGAATTGGGGTTTCGGTGTTGTTTGTTGTTTGATTGTGCTTTTGGCTGCACAGGTTGTCGACACTGGCAACATTGTGGGGAGACATGAAACTGCCAAGTGAATAAACTCAGGGACAAACGATTGCTTCGAATTTGAAGTGTGGTCTGCGTGACCTGGATTTCGAACCTCGAAGGCATGTTGCTGTGTTTGTGGAAGGATGGCTCTCCTTTCCATGCTGTTATCTTATTCTAACAGCCAAAGCACATTCGCCCTTGTAGGTGTTGTTTCGAGTAAGTCAACGAGAATTATTCACCCGATGCAACGTGCTTGATATTGAGAAACTTTGGTTATGCGGCTACGGAAAAGGTCCGCGGGCTGGCCGCGGTTAAGATGCTGCGGAAGATCCAAACATTGAATCAGGAGTTCCACGTGTATCATTGAGCTGTGGACTTGTCGTCAAGCTTCCAGCTCCACGTATATGATCGAATTCGAAGCAACAAGTCGAATCCTACATTAAGTGCTATGTTCTGTTGGAATTGAGTAAGTCAGCAACTCAGAATTTACGATTTTTGGTTTTGCATGAAACTTGAGGCGAAGCTACCATTCACAGAAGAAGCATTGCAAGTTGGGTAAAGTTGAATCGTAGCGCGCCGGATTTTGCCGGATTGCCGGTTCACGCGACCATGTTGGCTTCAGTCGTCCATTCGAGCCTTCCAACGCAGACTGCAACTAGGCCGAGGTTGTTTTGCAATGCAGGGAGTTCCGATGAGGAATTTCTGGCTGATGGCAATGATGTCGGGTCTCGCTACAGGCGGGTGTAGTTTTTTGTGCATGTGTTAGCCTGATCTACCTTGCTAAGTCCTGCAGGTGGCAAAGTCAAGTTGTGTCCGTACATATGCCAATGCCGAGATGGCAGTGATCGGGCATTCTTGTACCAAGAATGTGTAGAAAGTGCCGAAGGTTGCCGTTATCAGCCAGGTTGCGAATGCCTCTTGCCGGATCACGATAAACAAAAGACGATGGACTGGGGCGAGTGCGCAGTTTACGACTGCATCCACGGCACGCAGTATTATCCCGGATGGTTGGTTGATGACTTCAAGAACAATGTTTGCAACGAGCAGTGTCCTGCAGCAGACAAAAATGTCAGTTACTACTGCGGGCCTGACGATCTGCTGAGCTCTCACCGCCCAACTTCCAGGCATACAGCGCTGTCCAAGAACTCCGTGGGCCCGCAGAAGTCACCAGCCGTGAGATCACCTGGCATCGGGGCCCACGGCATCATTTGAAACTGCATTACGCTGTGGTGCTGGCTGAAGAGCAGCATGTCGTGAACTTGGACGATGTGGAGGAGATTTGGCGCATCACCTGTCCGGCCAAGGATGCGCAACGCATGGAGTTGGATTTGATCTCATCACGTGAAGCCACGACACTTCGCGAACCTTTCTGTCCTTGCTGCGCAGCTACCAGAGCTTGGTCGTGGCAGGTGGTCGTGCTTGGGGGTGCAAGAACGGTAAGGAGGCAGATGTCACAAACCGTAGAGCAGTTGAAGTGTCAGATCGTCAGCTAATGAGGTTCTCCTTTCCTCTCCCGACGTTGCTGCAAGGCCCCGCAGAGCATCCTCAAACGCGTTGTGGGCGTGCACGGCCTCGAGGCTGGGAGAAGGACCTCCGTGTGGGTGCTCTCGTGTTGTCCGTGTGGTCGTAGCATGTTGTAGCCAAGGGGGTGGTGGTCCTGGACGTGGAGCAGATCGACTACACGCAGGTGTTTCGCCATGCTAATGTGTCTTTCCACGCGCACACGCCTGGTGGACGACATGTCCTTCATGAGCAGCACGTGCGGAACGATGCCGTTGGACTGCAAGAACCGCAAGACGTGTGCCAATGTCCAGAGGACGAGTGGGATACCGTGTCATCCGTTGACTGTGCCCTGAAGTGCTCCTGCCAGTATGATGCTACCCTGTCGGGTGGTTGTTCTGACGATCCATCTGCGGAGACCATTCTGTACTACTGCAAGCAGATCCTGACGCCAGAGATCCGAAACCAGCTGGAGAGCCTCGTTTGCATTTGGCAGGTCCTCTCTGCAGGTGAAGGCAGACGAGGCTGAGTGCTGATTGACAGGACATACAACTGTTACAGTGGCGGTAAGTGCTATTGTGGCTGGCGGCGACCGCGCGGGAACAGCACAGCTCCACCTGCCGCTTTGCTTGATTGAGCCATTGAGCAGTGCTGTCCTGCCGCAGTGCCCGCGCAGTGTGCTCGATTGCACAGCGGAAGTTCCCGAACGCGAACCCAGGTTGTCGGAGGCTTTTGGAGTTCCATCGGAAATTTCTTCCGAAACGCATGGCATGCAGTCCAGCACATTGCCAGTGACGTAGAGCACATGGTGGAGAAGGCTGCAGCGGTTGTGAAGCTTTGCTGAAAGAAGTGTGGGGGTTTCGACAGTCTTGAGTGGCATTGAGTTTTGCTGAATGATGAGGAAAGGCATTGCCACAGGCTCCCTTTCTGGGGACGCCACGGACAGTATTGCCGGTATTGCTTGGAACTTTGACTCTTCATCCGGAGGTCTGGGATGAAACTTTTGCTCTCTTACATCGGACTCAGGTGGTGACCGGTATCCACAATCTTCGAGCAGAACAACCATCAGTTGAAGCCACTGAAACCCAGACAAGGCAAGCCCTGACATAGGTGCTTCCCAAACGGACCTGGACCTGGGAAACGGCTTCACTTGTCACAACTGTTTCTTCGACTTGGGCGCCTTGACTTCCGTTGTTGTAATTCCGTGCAGGGCTCTGCTGGCCAGTCTTTAGCACTTTCGATTGTGATGTCTGTGATTCCGTGCAGTTCTTCGGACAAGGTGGTGATGTTGCTGCTACTGCAACAGCTGCAGCTCCTTCTAACTACTGCTAGAAACTTCTGTGTCCATAGCTTGTGTGACATCTCCCTACACTTCTCAGGTGCAAGTGTGCACCTGGAGCTTAACATTCAAGACTACAAGGTGGAGCATTTGGTCATGTACTTGGAAGGCGGAGAATGCCATGTTTCCTGCCCTCCGCTTGCGAGAGACAGCGGCTTTGAGCACAAAACCCTAAACCTTAAATTATGGCCCGGAGGTGATGCGAAGATGCAGTACGACGTCAGCCTCCAACCTCAGTATTTCCATGCGAGTCTCTTGCCTTGCCTCAAACATGTTTCGCAGTTTGGTTACCGCAACCATTCACTGGCTTCGCATGTCTGACCACCTAAGGCAACGATACTGTCATCTCCACACTAAAGTTGGATGAGGTTGGGTCATGCACGAGCAATTATTCCCTTCGCAGTAACTGCCAAAGAGCTGATTTGTGCCAAAGCCAGGTGCACTTCAGCATCGCAGGCATTCCCTTCGTCCTAGACACGACTGTGCCCATCAGCTTGGGATACGATGCAGTTCTGGAGATCGGACAGGATGCCTCTGTGCGTGCTATGGCAAGTATCGACGGTTCGTGGAAGGGTGGTGTGGCTTACAGCAGCAAGGACAGCACCTTGCATCATATCGACGAGAGGAAGTTCGAGCCTTCCGGAAAGCTGTCGGCCTCGGCCACTGCTGGCTTTCAAGTCCACTTGTTCCCACAGGTGGTTTTTCTGTGCGACCACCTGGGTGGACCCACTTTGGGCCTGAAGCCTTCGGTGGATGTGGTGGTGGGCGCAGCGGTTGGCTCGGAGACTTGCCCTACCGACAGGGCTCTTCAGGCTGGCCTCTTTGCGCAGATCCACTTTGGCCTTCAGGTGGCCTTAGGGGCGAAGATCGACATCGAGCTGGCGGGGGTTCCCGTCTGGAAGCGATCGTGGCCGGCCTTGCTGTCCCACACCTTCAAGTGGCCATTGCTCTCCTCTTGCGTGTCCTCTGATGGACGTGGGGGCTTGGCCGCCACGCCCAGTTTGCTCCCGGCTGGGGCGCAGCCTTTGGCGACCGGTGTTGCCTTCACGGGCACCTTGATGCCGGACACTTCCAGGGGTGTCTGCGCAAGGTACCCAGCCGTTCCCCTGACCGTGCAGCTGACCTCGGAGCAAGATGCACATCTGCTTTCGAAGCAGCCCAAACACGGATTTGGGTTTCCCCCCCAAGATGTTGTGTTTACCACAGCTCAGAATGGAAAGTGGGCTTTTCCTTTGCCTGGCGAGAGGAACGATGTCAACTACAACGCCTTCGGGAGCTTGCAGTTGGACTACCAGTGGTCAGGCGATCAACTTGGGAGTGTTGTCGACCGGGCCTCCTGCCAAGCAGGATCCGCGCAGAAAGCATGCTATACTTTCGTGTACGACAGCTCCCCGGACTTACCGCAGGTAGGTTTGCCAGCATTCATTTGGTTTGCAGACCTGTCTCCGGACATGTCCGAGATCACACTGCAGAAGCCTGATGCGGGTTCCTGCTACCATTATCCCGTGTCCTTGAAAAGGACCCACGGCCAAAGGCGCTTCTCGTCACATACTGACAGCGAAGCAGTCTACGTTTAAGCTTAAGCTGAAGTTTATCCAAGTTTATCCATCTGCTTCCAGCTGGTGGGTACTTTTTGGCAGCGTTTAAACGCGAAAGCAACTGATGAGCTCTTGCATTGCAAAATGGAGGCGCTGGCAGTTAGTCGTTTTCAGCGAGTCTCTGGTGTGTTTTTGTTTTAGACATTCCACCCTAGACCCTAAGCCTTGCACATGCAACCTTCGACTTGGCGGGTCAACATTTTGACTTGCAAGTTGTCATGCTGGAGCAACGGCATGCGTGCTTGCACAAGCACATATTCTTCTACTGCCCTTATAGGATCGATGAAGATTTCTAGTATTGTCTAGGACCCGACTCCATTGAGTTTTGTTTTGCTTACATGAATTGCACATTTAGCCCACCGCTGTTTGCACTCCCAGCACCGGACTAGTGGCCGGAAGAGAGCAGCAGCACACACACACACACGAACGGTTTCGTCGGCAGTCAAAAGTGATCACGATGGTTGCGCTTGTATCAAGCACCTGTTATGCCGACTACAGTGGTTAACATCCTTTGGCAGGCGTAGGTCCTATAGGCCCCGCAAGACCCGTAGGTCCCGTAACCCGCGCAGGCCCCGTATGCCCGGCAGGCCCTGTAGGAACACTAGGCCCCAGAGGCCCGGTACCCGGGTAAGCCCGAAAGAACCGTCGGTGGTTGGATCGGTAGGCCCTGTCGGTCCCGAGAGCCCCTTCGAGGACTAGCGATTTCAGAGGTTTGCAAGCAACCATGAAATGTCGGCATGGTGGCCGGAGTATCATCAATCAAGCAAACCAGAGGATTTGTTCACGGAGGAGGACGGGGCCGGCGCCCATGACTTTGGAAATCAAACGTTTGTTGTGGAACATCTGATCATGTGCCACAGCGGGAGCCGTGTAACGGCCACTAACCATTCGTTCATATTTCGGTCATCAGAACCTCTGCAGTGGTATCACGCCGTTCGGGAATATGCTTCAGTCATAAACCCAACCATGAGTGGAAGTTCCAAGCCTTGATGTGTTCTTCGCCGAATGGGACATCCGCTCCGATCATTCGATCAAAACATGGGTGTGAGCCTTGCTTATCAGTCATGTCACATGTCACATGTCGGTACACTGTTGCACTCGTCTGCGATTGCATACGAAATAATATGTTTCGGGTTGCATTTTAAACAAACATGCATTTGTATGTCATTTACTTTCCCCCGGATTTTGAATCCGTGCTTCCGCCTCAGTGCTCGTGGTAGGTGGTGAAATGGGGTGGTTGGTGGGATGGGTTTGACTTGCACGCACATTGATGTCCTCGTCCATTGCCACTCGTGAGCTGCTCGCAGGTACCGCGCCCCCTAAAGCTCTTCTAAATCCCGTTTTGCAAGCACTTTAGAGCCCCTAAGATCGCTCGGCCTGCGGGCCGTAGGCCTGCGAATCGGCAGTGCTTCGAAGTACCGAATTCTGACCTATGTCTCGAACTTAGGCCTGTAGCTATCACAGAGTGGAGCGCTGGAACACCCTCCCTAGAGAGAGGCTTAGGCTCTTAGGGGCTAAACGTTAAGGATAACGGTTTACTGCTTCGGATAATTGCTTCCGGATCAGGATAACAGTTTAAAGGCACGCTTCAGGGCTCTTCCAAAGAGCCGCACTCCGACAGACTGCTTTCCTGGAACCAGCTGCATCATGCAAAATGGTTTGACAAATGCATGCCTCGAATCAGGTACAGACAGTTTCTCACGGATCCGTTTCTCAAATTCAGGTACATGCAATTTCAATCAGATCGGTTCCTCAAACCAGATACAGACAGTTTAACAAATCGGGTTCTAAAACCAGCTGCAAGGTGCTCTCACAAATCCCTAACACACAACACTCTAACATGTCAACTCCTCAAATTGTCTTACAGACTGTTTTTGCAGATCGATCCCAAAAGGGGCGCTGCGGTTGCACACATTCACAACTATTGGTCCAAAGGCTAATCCCTTCTTTCTAATATTAACCGGCCCCCCCTCCGCAATAGATACTCGGAAAGGGCTTTTGATATTAGGCTTTTTTCTTTCAACTGTTTCTAGTATGGCTGCTTATACAAAGTGCTGAAAAGCAGCGGAATCCACTTAACTCTCGGTCACAAAGCAGTGGTGCTTCCAATCGTGCACCCGGCAAGCAAAGCAAGACAAAGCAAGGCAGGGCAGAGATCGAAGCAGAGTTTAGTTCCGCAGGTTTAACCGCTCAGCTAAAGACAGCGCAAGCACACAAAGTTGATTGCATTGCCGTCTCTTCTTGCCTGGATTTGCAATGAGTACATTCAGCAACTTGCGTGATGCGTCGCCAAGCCTCTTTGTGCCCAAAGGTCTTGTAGTGCAAATCCGGACACTTGCGTGCAGCACTCACACTGCTTAACTTGACGGTTCAAGTTTGGCTTTTGCATTAGATGGCGCGTTGGATTGTGTTGTACCATTGTGCAGCTTCTGCACGGTGCATGCCGGCCAATGACTGTCTGAGTTGGAACATGGTTCTCCACAAAAGAAACGTTGCAAACAAGGGGACTTGTCCTCGATTTGTTGATGATTGCTTTCATGTGGTCATGTGTATAGAGTCAACGCAGCCATCATGTCCAACAGGGTCTTCGGGAGTTTTGCGGCACAGCCATCTTTTGTTTGTGTTTCGAATTTTTAAAGCAAGGTCTCCTTTCGACAGCCAGGTTTGTCATCCTTCATATTGTTAGTATCCATTACGTAAACGAGCCACCAAGCAAATTGTTTTACTCGGAAACATGGGCCCGCATTCCGCCACACAGTCCACAGATTCCTCCGTTTGCCTCAGACCCTCTAATTCGCAGCTGGAACGTTGTTTTCGAAGTTAAAGCTTTGTAATAACTATACTTCGGGGAGTTTCAAGCATGCATAAATACGAGCCGTTCGTAGAAAAGTTATTTTCTTTACGCGAAAACTTGTGCACCGAAGCAGCACATGAAGGGTACATCAAGGCTTGCTCGCAAGGTTGTGGAAGTGTTTGGGTGGTACTGACCGCTTGATTTTTCGTTTTGATGTAACTGCCAGAATTCAGCCTCCGCAAACGGCATTGTACTTGTAGATGTCGTGTATGCAGGTTTGATGTTCGATATTTCCTCTGTCAACATCCTTGAAGACTGCTGCCAAACATTTGAATCCTCAACATTTGAGTATGGAAAAGGAATTTGTGGCAGCCACCCACAGTTGGAATGCAAAAAGCAGCATTGCTTGGCAAAAGGGTCTTCCTTTGATTTAGTTTCCCGCATTGAACACGGCGACTTCAGAATTGTTGGCAATCATGTCCATGGTCTTGTTGGTTCAAGCGTTTGCAAGCCGGCCTGCGTTTCAATTGGTCGCCCCAGAAACTTTCTCGATATTTGCAGGTCATGTTAGATTGACCATTGTTTGGGTTCGAGATTGGTGACATCAAACGTTGCAGAAACTGGGAGCAAGAGGTTGGTGAGCAGTTGGAAGTGAAGTTGCCTTGCCAAAACAGTTGTCATCAGCTGTAATTGAAATTGTCGCACATTGATGTCAAATATCATGAAATGGTGTTTGTAGACGTAGTCATGTAGCGATGATGGCATGGCAGCGATGGTGTTGTTCAGCGGGGAGGCTTGCTTTGTGCCTGGGAACCGGTTTCCAACATGCGAGGGCGAAGTGCTGACAGGTGTTAGTTAAATGGACGATCAGTCACTTTGCGTGCCACCACGAGTTCTCCGAATGATCGCGGTTCTGCGGTGGGGTTTTGTCTGGTGCGGCTGCCTGAAGGAGCTCCCTCCGGCAGTGGCGAAATCCGAGACCGCACGATTGGTGGATGGCAATTCCATTGAAGTTCAGCTGAATCGTACGGCATGGTGCACATGCTGCATGTCATGCATGTGCAAAATGCAGTCTTGTTGAATTCGGCTTACGTCGTGCCGACATGTACAGCAGTCAAGCAGAATCATTTGCTGCTTGGTAAAGCTTTCGTTGCTGTTCGTGGAATCTGAGGAAGTTGTTGGATGGAAGATGCTTGACAACAGCCAGCCAAAGCCTCAGCCTAATTGCAACCGACGCAGCGCGAAAAGTCTTGTCGCAACTTTTGCTATTGGCTTTCTGTGTCGAAGTCACGACGTGCTGGAGTGCCTTGGACTTGAAGGCGATGGCAATATGTCTTTGCTTTTCCAATGGACTTCAAGAGTGACCACTGGTCTTCTCCGGCCTTTGAGCCCAACGAAGCATGGGACAGGACCGGTGCGCTGTGATACCCAACTGCATAATGCGGCTTGAAACTCCCGGGCAGGATCTTTACGCGTTTGGATGGAACTGCCGAGATGACGTTCTCAACAGGAACTACAAACAAGCAGTTTCATCAAGCTGCTTCTTGGTCGCGATTGCATAGGCAGTCATTGCTTGAGTAGCCACAGTCTTTAGCAAGGCTAGAGATTCAGTCACATCGAACGAACGTGGACAAGTGCAGCTTGATGAGGTATTAGATGAACTCGCCCGTGCCTCTGTATTCCTTCGTGACCTGTGATGCTTGTAGCTGACACCGTGTGCAACGAACACGCTCGGCATGAAAATGACCGAGGTCAAAATTCTGACCGGTCCATGGTGCGGCTTCGAAGTTGGCAAGTACAGGCTTGGCACACCAGCTAATGGCAAGTCAGTTCGTTGGAAAGCGTGATCACATGTCTCGCCTGGACCTGCTCCCCGACAGATGTTTTTGTGTGTAACAGCTCACATAACATGAAAGGACTATCGACGAGGACGAGCTTTTCCTTCTTGTCAGCCTGGAGGATGAAGAGGCATCGCATATTGAAATACGGAAAGAAGAGTCCTCAAACTTACGCATCTCTTCAACTCTGAAGCCGTCGTCTTGGATTGGAGATTGGAGCGTCTCTGGTCTGATGGACAAGGAAGGAATACTTTTTGGCCAGGAAAGCAGGGAACCTGGCACACGTTCCGAGTCCCAGACGAGACCTGCCATGAACCAGATACAACGAAGATCACATGGGCTGAAAGATCATATGAAGCACGGCCAGCTCATGTTCATCGGCTTTCGTGCAACTCGCCAGTCAGCCAATCGACAAATTCTCACTATCTTGAGCAGGCAAAGGCAATTGTCGAATTCCGCCTGCCGTTGCACGGAACTTTCGCTTGTCTTGACCATCGAGTGCTTTTCTTCTTGCCACAGCGTTTGCGAGCATTGTGTTTAGCGACAGGCCATCAAAGCCATTGCCGAAAAGGAGGAGTTTCCTGTACCTGGGCAGCAGTTAGGGCCACGACACAAGTGCGCATCTGAATCAAGCGTCTCGAGGCCATGCTCCGCCATGATGTCGTTTACAAGGATCTGACTTGCGCGACAGACGAGTCGACAGGCATGTGGTGCAGTCCGTCTTGTCTGGCTCAATGACGCCTCAACGTAACCGCCTTCTTCGTCATGGCCGAACTTGTAAATTGAAGAGGTTGCTATTGGGTTCGACAAGGTTCAGCAGCAGCAAGAGATCCATCTAGAACGCCCAACCCAGCAAGTCCCTCAGTAGGAGCTGGTTAAAGGTGGCTGGCCAAGTTCCTTTTCTTCGTTTCAGGCGACCATAAGTTTGATCTTAAGGTTCGTTGGTTGCACATCAGTTCATGTCAGTCACGATTGGTTCCATGCCTGGCGCGTTTTACGAAGTTGGGAATGCTGACTTCACGGCTAGGGAGCAACCCGGAAGATTCGTGTAGCTTCTTGTTGGCTGGGCTTCTGCGCTGAATGCACCACTGCCTGTGATTCGCTTCATTGCTCACAGCACACGTTCCACAAAACCCTAAACGGCCCTAAAGCCCTTTCCAAGCTCTTTTTGGAGTCGCTCCTTGCCAGGCCGAGATCGATTCCGTGTCCGTGACTTTGGTGAGCCTTGGCAGAAAAGCTGCGGAGCTGCAAATGCAATAGCAGTGGCTTAGCTCTCAAGTCAAGGAGTTCCTCGATGGCAAGAGGCATACAAACAGATATCCTGGTCATGCCACTTGTCAGATACCCTCTGAAGGAAAAGCAAAGTAGCATTGGCCTGCTATCAACCTGCTGCTATAGGTTAGATATAGTGCCGAAGTGGACGAGGTCTGTGAGGCACACGAGGGTGTGGGAAGGGGGAAAGCGTACGCTGCTTCAGAGAGAAACTTTCGTTCAGCAGGACTTCTATACGGCTGATCATATACGCCTTGCGCGGCATCGCATCCGCAGATTTGTGCGCTTGCAATCGCTGGTCTCAGCGCCTAGTATGATTTGGTCTGAGCTGCAGATGCCAGTGTTCCACTCTGGCACTTCCTGGGTTCGCTGTGCTGGCGTGAGGAAGGCGTGGTGAACCAGTACTTCTGTGTCCATCACTGGACAGACTTGCAGTTCTTCTACCAGGTGCAGCGCTGGAATGAGTCTTTTCAGCAACGCGAATCGCGCCGCCGACAGATGCCTCATTTGCTAGAAAGAATGTGTCTTGCATGAACCGAATGTCAAGGATCCGTGCAACCTCCTGCAGTGGCCGGCAGAGCACCTCCCTGACAGCACCTGTGATCTTTACTAAGTCCTCAAAAGAAGGCTGTCCCTCACGCAGAACGGAAAGTGCAGGCAGTAGGTGTTGCTTTCGCGTTTCAGCATGTGCAGAAGAGTTTGAAGCGTCTCACAGGCTCCGGACAGTGACAACGGTAGCTAAGGTATTCAGCAGTACTTCGGAGCAGACCTGTCATTCTTCTTTCATTGGTTCAACGCCTACACGTCGCGCAGCTTCATTATGGTCAGTTTCCATAAGCTGACCCAGCCTTTTGGTAGGTTTGCTCGTTGCAACGCTGGGTGTTCGACCTTGCAACCAGCTCGAGGCGGTTTTTATTCTGGCCGGCTCTGCTGTCCACGCCGATCCTGGCTCAGGATTTCTTTTTCAAAGAGCATCTTGGATACAGATTGGTACTCGTAGCGAGCCGGTTGGCTTGTGCTTGCCGCTGTCTGTGCGCGGCCGCCATAGCAAAAGCCAGTCTCAAGGTCGATCCCAGTCTCTCGGCTTTGTTCAGACAAATCTCCAAAGCTTGAACGTTGCAGGCAAAGTCTCGGATTTGCGGGAGTTTTTTCCTGCCATTTACACTGCGAGAAGCTCGAAACAGCTGTTTTTTGCGGCTTGCTCGGATGCTGTCAGAGTGAAGTGAGAGCTGAGGAGACGGTTCGCTGGGGAGAGCAGCTTGGACGATAGGAGTCGGGATCTGCAGAACCTAGAGGTTGAGATGTTTTGGGAGGCTTCCTTCCTGTCGGTTTCCTTCTGAAAGCGGTTGAATGCGAGGTATGTGGCATTCTCCATCTTTCTGGGAGTCTGGTCCACCACCTTCCTGGCAAGGTGGGCTGGTGGGATGCTTTGGGGGGCCGGGGAGCTTCGGCCTGGCAGGTACAAGCATATGAAGAACCTGAAGGCCGGGCCGTGGAAGGAGAGCTTTCTCTGAAGATGTCGGTGATGCCCCCCTCTATGAGAGAATCTCGAAACAGCGACACTGGCTGCGATGCGTAGGCAACACAGCAGAGGCTTTGGCACAGCTTCTGCTGCAGGTCCTCAAGTGGGGCATGAAGCACCACGATCGAGAATTCGCCGAAATCCGCAGGTTCGGGGTGCCACGAGATGCAGATTCACACACGCAATCGATGATTGACTCAGTCCTTCTCGTCATGCCTTCATCACTGGCCAGGCAGTTTCGCGACGACTACAGAGACAGCTGGGGAGAGTATTTTCAGCAACTCTTGCACTGGACCTCTTCGGGGCATGCAGTGTAATTTGCAAGACACGTGAGAGATATGTTTTCACACAGTTCCAATGTCGACGACGAGAACCTGCATCGCATGGGGAGAGTCGGACAGCGAGTAATCTAACCAAAGTTATGCCGAGCCCCAACACTCATTATGTGTCCAGCCCTAGGCCTTGACGGAACACAGGAAGTCTGCCATTGCATAAGGGTGAAGGCAGCTCCAATTCAGACCTTGGGAAAGTCGGTTCACGTAACACCATGTCGCTGCGAAGGTGAAAGTTAAACCTTGTCACAGGAAAGGGACAAGGGGAAAAAGGTTTATGGTTCGATTTCTTGGGCTCTAAACTGGATTCCGTTCACTGCAATCCACATTGCGGGAAGGAGTGGGCTGCAGATCACACCGCCCAAAAGACTTATCTTATCCTACACCAGAGCCGCAGTAGGGCTAGATCAACCCTAGACACCCCTCAAGAAGTATGGATTCAGCTGTGTGTTGGCTTGGATCACCGGAAGAGCCACCCGGTGAGAAGCCACGGCGCCTTAGCCTTCCCTTACCATGATCTGCCATTTGTGTCGGCAGTGCGATTTGGAAACACTGAAGAGGCCCGAGACGACCATCGCGGATTGTTGCTCACAGTACACACGGCAGCCAACTGCACAGTACTCTGTCGATCAGTTTCTTTCTCAACGTGGAGGCTCTTTCTGTTCGTTGTGCTTTCACACCAGTGCCAATCCTGTAGTCATTGGTGATCATTCAACTCAGCGTGTATCATGTAGTATGTGTTCAACAAGACTTCTTGGCCAATCACATTTCATGCCGTTCCCAGTATTCTTGTTATAGCTAAAATTGCTATTCGCCATTACTTTGCGTTTCAGCTCTAAAGCACCATCTGCTGTCATGTCGCTGTAGGGGTCAGTGTTACATGGCTACGACTTTTCTGGTCATCACCAGTACTATTAATACTGCTTCTATCTGCAGTACAGTCTTCGTGGCTTTCTACATTGCTCACAGGTGCCGTCGCTGTGCCAACCGAAATGCTGCGACTTGCTGACGAACCGTTGGTTTTCAAGGTATTTGTCACCAGATGTTCTTGCATCAACGATGGAAACACGCGCCATCGCACCCAAACTACACGGAGACCGCCGGCATGTTCGAGCCATCGTGGAGTCAATGAGGGTCTGTCATGGACAAGTGTTTGAATGGGTTTAGCAGGGAAACTGATGCCGTCGCAGGAAAGCAGTCGCGGCTGTAAACTGGTTATTTGTACAACAGCTGTCATGTTTGTTTGTACAGGATAGAATGCATGCCGTGTCAGGTCCATCTACATGACCCGCGTTCGTGCACACATGAACCTGCAAACAAGACAGAAGAAGATTCCGAAGATTCGGACTTGGGACGCATCTGGCCCAAAAGCATGCATAACTACACTGTCGGCGAAACATCAGGTAAATAGCCCGAAAGCTCTGTCTGTCAGGATTCTCTGTGTCGCCTTCATGGCCGAAACAGTTTTCTTCACACTATTTGCAACCCGTCTGCACAGTGCCGTCGCGAGGTTTCTTCATGGTTCCAGGGTGCGTGGTTGTCTGAGTCCTGATTGTCTGCAAGGTCAGCCAACTGCGGATACAAGCTCGGGTAGATCCGATGGGGCGATCCTATGGAATCCGGTATCCGGGCAGTGATGGGATTTGAAGCAAGTGTCGAGCCAGTCGTTTTGGCCGCGAGGCACCAACACCTACAGGCATACGGAAAGTGGCTTGAATGCAGATTGAGGGAGCAGGGTATTGCCGCATTGCCTTCGTCTCGAGCTGCGGCGCACCGTAACAAGGTACATGATCACTGCCAACATCAAAATTGTCGATTATCTCTGGACGAACCTGTCCACATACCTGTCCAAGAACGAGAATTGGAGGACGGCTTCGCCGGCTTCACTCTATGTCACCCGGGGGTGCTCGAAGGACACCAGGAGAGCTGCGCAACAAGGCTACAGAGAAGCTGTTTGCTGTTAAGCGTCTCGGAAAGCCCTAAGCATCCCCTGCACTTGGAGTTCATGTCATTCTTGACGTCTCGGGTAGAATGTCCGCTTCTCCACTGAATCTCAGGTTCGTTGTTTACTACTACCCCTTCCTCTACACGACACTTTGCCGCCACAGTCAGCTTGTGTTGTCGGGCACACTTTGGAAATGATGCTATGCCTGATGTCAGTCGGAATATATGTTGAGGATTTTCATCAAACCTGCGATTTATGACATCGACATCCAGCCATGCTTCAAGGCAAGTCGTTCCTTGTACCGGCTTGAACTGAAGTGGGACGCTTCAGAAGGGTGCCATTGTAAATGCTCAAGAGGCATTGAGCAGCGATCTGCGACTCTTTTTCTTCACGCAGATCGTTATGGAGGCCGCTAGACCAGGATCCGTCAGTGAGACCGCGCTATTGTTGCGTTCTGTCATATGCCGCGGCACAAGACATGGCAGGTCATATTTCTCTTCGTGTCTCTGCTTACTTCCTGGCTCAAGGTGGGCACAGTCTTTGTCCCACTGAAACGGATCAGATCGTGGGCGTTACCTGAGAACTCGATGCAGGTTGCTTCCGAACGAAGGCGATTTGCCAACAAGGAGTATTCGTACTTAGCTCCTTGTGTGAATTAGCTGCTGGCCCCCTGCTAGCCATGTGCAACTGAAAGATGCAGAGCCTTGCATGTAATCCTCAGCAGCTGAGGAATATCAGGCCAAATGTCCTGAGTATTCAGATGAAGACACTCGGAATGAGAGTTGGTTGACAAGGTCTGGAGTCAGCCCAAATTGACATGGCTTGCTATCAGATGTGTGCTGAGATGCTGAGGACTTGATGTCGGATGTGCAGCTTCAGGTGATTAACTACGGGTTCTTAGTGATGTTGCTTGGCTGGGTGCAGTCGCATTACATGCACAACATGCAGAGTTGTTGCTAGTGAACGGCTGTTGAGGTTTGGAGTCTGTTTGCCATATGTGCACTGGACTTAGCTTCTGCTCGATGTGCACAGCGGTAGCTGTTATGTCCAGTTGTACGGTCAGGTGCTGTATTTGCTTCTGTGTGAACTTTCTGCACGGGCCTGAAACGAAGACTTGGGTGTCGTTTTTTCCATTCAGCGCGGTTTTCGAGAATGTGCTTGTGTCGAGGTTCAAGCGCATCCTTGCGTGCGCCGGCAGTGTGTGGGAGGTAAGTCGCGAAACCTTAAGGCTCCGTTTAGCAGTTCTGATTTCCAAAAACCTTCGCACTGCAGCCAAATGTCGCGAAATCGAGGTGCCCTCCATGCACGGCCCGCCGCAGAATGCAAGAGCATGCCCTCCAATCCCGCGTGCATCGAGACATAACATGCATGCCTCTGCACAAGCGTCATGGGCACGCACGGCTTGAGCAGCAGAATGCCATGCCCGAACCTCACAGAAGGCAGTACAGGACCTTACGAGTGACTTCTCGAGTTGAGGATTGTTGGTCAGAAGGCATCTTCCGGCCAAGTGGGGTGAAGAGTTGCCTCGTTGCTGCAAAACTTTCGCGTGTCTGGCGGCCGATCAGAGAACAGAGCCTCGAGGTTCAATTGCCTCGAGCCACAGCGCTTGACACTTCCACGCTCAGTTGCAGGTACAAGGTCTCGTACATCTACCAGAGGCCGAGCCCTTTCGGAGCAGAAGGATTTGGTGCTGAGGACGGAGTTTTCTGTGCCTAGCAGCATGAGGGTGGCTGGGGGCCTGTTTCCGGAGACTGGCACTCTGGGCTTTCTGTTTTGCAAGTCAGGACATCATAACCCTTCTGTCGTGGATCGGTGTGATTTTCAACACCTTCTTGGTCGCTTGGCTTGAATCGCAGAATCGCACAACGAGTGGCAGGTCATGACAACCTTTTCCATTCAGGTGATCTTCGTGTCGCCGCTCTGTGGTGACATGAGCTTGCACCCGAGCTCTTCTTCGAGCGGTATTCTTTCAAAGCTCTAGGACTCTAGGGATGTTTGTGTGTTGCCTGGATGCCAACGGAGAAGCAGCCCGAACATCCAGCAAAAGCCCGTGTTCCGGCATGTTGAGCATGGCTCTTCTTGGTTATAAGAGAAGTACATGCCGATTGTCCCCATATTTTCTTTAGTCGCAGTTCGGTCCGCGAGCGATGCCTTGCAAGCTTGTAGAGGCCGAATCTACCGTAAATTACGGTGTGTTTGAGCTTATGTTGTGTTGTCCGTCTACCCCACAATAGTATCCTGACGCGGCCGCGCGGCCCGCGAATAACACCAGCAACAACACCAGCAGCAGCAACAGCAGCAGCAGCAGCAACAACAACAACAACAACAACAACAACATTGAGTAAGGCTCCACTGGTGGTAATGCTGATTGCTCCTATCTGCCATAGTTTGGTATCCAGAACCGGACAACCAACGCCTGAGTATGCCGAGGTGTGATTGCCTGAGTAGACTGACGTGTAATGTTCGGAATGGGATTTCTGGCTTAGCTCCTCGCCATATGCAATCGAAACGGGGTTTCTGGCTTGGCCCCTCTCCAGTCAAATCTCTGCAGCTAGATGGAACGATGGAAACAATGCGCAGCGAGACCAAGCATGACGTCACAAGCAATATTGCAGGTACACGGAGATGATCAGTCTCCGCTTCTCCCATGGTGGATAGCCTCGTTGGCACAGGTACCACCATGGGCCTGCGCCCCCTGCTGAAATGACATCACTCTCTGAATCTTAGTAACTCAAAACTGACCGAAAGATCCTGGCAATGGATGAAGACGAGCCCTCGGGCAACGCTTAGCTTAGCTGTCAGCGTGTAACAACAACAAACACCCCACAAACTGCGGCAAAAGTCATGACTTTGTTCTCGAATCGCACAGATCAGAGTCAATGTGAAATGCGTCAGTTCGTGCTAGACGAGAAATCGTAGCCAAGAACTCAGATGACGAAGAGGCATATGAAAAGGGACGACATGGCGATTGTTCTGCAGCAACTTGAAATCTCCCCTTCGCAAGCATTGTCCTTGTAGGTTCCAAACTTGACGGACAATACTGTCCTTTATGTCATCGACGCAGTCCGTACTCCACCAAATCTGCATCGTGCTCTCTCCAAACGGTTGTTTTGAGGAGGCTCGGTACAATGAAATCAATATGGGAAAGCGTTCGCTTCATGGAGACGCGCGGATTTTTTGGGTCAAGTACACCATAACAGCAGCTGGAAAGCCATGAACTGACAAACATGAAAAGAACATGAACCATGAATCATGCATGATGCAGACCGAACCTACTGCAAGCAGCTGTCATGTAACGCATGCACTCATTTTGGTGGGACTCAGCATCGAATCAAGAGACTGAATCTCTACATCTCGAACGACTACGCACTGCCACAGTGTCCATGTGGGGTTTCAGCCGATGTGAAAAGCCACTGGTAGCCGTCATCATCGTCGAAGCAGGCGCAGCCACAACAACCGGAGGTGGAGGAGGAGGAAAAGAGGGAGGAGGAGGAGGGGGAGGAGGAAGGACCGCTGAGGGAGAAGAGGGAGGAGGAGGAAAAGGAGGAGGAGGGGGAGGAGGAGGAGAGAAAGAAGAAGGAGGAAGGGAAGAAGAAAGTGGAGGATGAGAAGTGGTGGTGTGAGCAGTCGTCGCAAGGTAGTTTCCCACAAGGTGATCTGTGTAAGAATTCGTGTCCTGGCAAATACGAAGCCGAAGAAACTCGATAAAGGCTGCTCTCGTAGGACTGCTTGTCAACATGGAAAGAAGCGAAATGCGACATTCATGTGTAAGACAGTCCAGAATTTGTTCATTCATTGACTGTTGACATGGTCGAGCTCCGGCCATGTTCGCAATCAAACCTAGAAGCCAAACGTCAACTGTCATGACATGAATGAATCGGCACGACCACATGTTGCAACCATTATGATGACATGACATGAACGCAAAACAATACATTTGTCGCAAGCAAGCAATCATTCCATGTCACGATTGTACAGTCCGGAGTCGCAATGCAATCTGCAAGCACTTCTGTGGATCAGGTTTGATCCTCGACTAGCATGGCATTGATTTGCAAGACTTAAGCAGTAGCTTCGAACGTTCCTGCAAATTCTGTTGAGCACTCTGCCAAGTTCTCATGCGCTTTGTGCAAGCAATGGGAGGGGGGGGTAAGGATGCCCCCATACTCCAAACACATTCGATCAGAAGTAAAGTGTGTCGAGTTCTTTACGCTTGGAAACACGAATGGAACTGTTGCTCGCTTGTTTTAATGATGTGGAATGAAACAACTCCTGTTGCGACCAGAACAACAAGTCAGATTTTCGTGTGCCAGCAGCAAGAACACGAGCAAAAACCAAGGAAAGATCAATTTTTCTTTGGTACCTTTGATGCTGCGTGGGAGTTAGGACGAAATAAGTCTGGAAAGCAGCCATTTCGTGTCCTGTTGAACGATGTAGCAGCTCTCTAGGTTTAATTGCTGTTAGTAAGACGCAAATGAGTTTGGTTGTTTGTTTGCATGAACCAAGTGTTCTTTTGCATCTTGCTAAGAGAGGAGCAACGAACCCCGCTTTTGCGCCCAAGCCTTTTCCCATCTTCATAAAATAAAACGAAGCTGTTCTCTCTCTCCGTATTCCCAAGACAGAAACGAGCTGAGCCGAGCCTTTTCAAACCATGAGCAGGAATAATAGAGCTCCTTGGCTGATACTCCAAAATACACTAGCATCGTTTTGAAAGTATACAATGTGAGAGCTCCTTCATGCGTGAGCAAGGTATCATAGATTTAGCAAGGATTGTTTAACACAGAATTAAAGCCTCGACTAACTGTAAAAGTCAGCCACAACTACTAAGCACAACAATACCACTACTGGTACTGCTGCAGGTACAATTGGAACGAGAACAACAGGTAACAGCGACAAAATGTAGTCCACCACCATCAGCACGACGACTAAAAATAACAATATGGCCAATATAATAACAATATCATAGTTGGAAAAGTCAAATACCATTGATAGTAATTACAATGATAATATTAACACGATAACGCTTAAACCTGGCATGTATGAGGGCTGCGGGACAAGGAATGTTATTGACATTTATAATCCTTGCCGGCGTTTTCGCATCGATGCTTCCAGGCTCAAATTACCCCAAAGTTTCTGAGGCCTGAAATGCGATACTTAGGCAAACATCAAATTTTCCAAAAATTCCTAAAATCCATGGGGCGTGTGGGGGATGATTACTCAAATTTGGGAACTTTGGAGAAGTTTGATCCCTGCCAGCGTTTTCGCATTTCAGGCTTCAGGAACTTTGGTGAAATTTGATACCCGCCAGTGTTTTCGCATCTTAAGTTGCCCACCTCCTTCCACTGCTGACAAAAAGCAAGCTCGGGTGGATCATGGCGGAAGGGGGGCCCGCCGGAGCGCAACCATAAACACACATACAAATTTAGGTATATACACACATATATATATATGTACACACACAGACATATATATATATATATATGGATGGTCACACCCCCCCACATGATCCACCCGAGCCTTCTTGCCATTTGTTCGTCCACAGTCTTATGTTTCCCA